ACATGGATATTTGTCAAGAAAAATGTGTAAATTGTTTTGAGTCAACCATAACCGAAACATTGAAATACTTGAAAATTTTAAGATAAAGTATAATAGTCAAAAATGTATGAAAAACATCAATTTTGTGTGGTTCTACGTCATACTGCGGTCGTGTCTAGGATAAAACCCTTTATTTTTTTTTTCGTTCCCCGCGTTATAGGCGATCCTGATTGGTTGACTAGTAACCGATTTTCTATTACATCTAGTTCTCCATGAGAAATGTTCGCGAGTCATAATAACTTTTCACAAACTTGTCTATCACTGGGCATCATTTATTTACTTTTCTCTCAATAGTTAGGGGTTAGTTTATTTTATTTTCTTTATTTTAAATCATTTATTTTATTTCATTTTTAACTCAACTGTATCTACTACAAAAAGAGTGGCTGTTCTATTTGTAAACCACATATTGAAGTGCTACAAAGGAGGAAAGCAGCAAGTTTTGTGAAGGGGACATCTAACGAGAGCCTTTCAGCACCGAAAAGGGATAAAACTGGGATGTCCTCTCTTGTCTATCATTTTTAACTTAATGTGAGTAGATACGCCTAAACCAAATCGCCACTCATCCTGGCTTTCATTGATTGCCGTATAACGTCGAGAACATGGAGGAGATAGTACGAATGATCAGGGAGTACCTAAGGTGGTCTAAATCTAAACGATGGTGTTCATGCGAGAATCGACCGGGGATGTGATTTCCAAAATTGTGGTTGATGGCCGAACCATTTCGGTATTTCGGGGTCTATTTGACAGCTCGGCTTGAGCGACTAATGACTGTTAGAAGTCGTTGCCGATATGCTGTGCGAGGTTCAAGAGCTACTATGGACTAGTATCAGCCGTCATGGCAACTAAGTCGTGTGATGTACGAGTCGATGATTGCCCCTGCGACGCTGTATGGAACCCAAGTAGCGGTACTCACAAAATATAGTCGGAAATCCATTCAAGGATATGAACGCCAAGTAGTTCAGAACATGGCTCATTTCCTGCTTCCGTGATCCGGCTGTTAGATAAACGGCGAATCACTAAGAAGGTACGCATGTACAAAATGCGCCGGTGGGGAATGTACGGCGACGGGACTCAACACATCCTCTTCATTGTGCTGTTCCCATTTGCGGCCATACCAGTCAAGCTTCACATGATGGGAACAATGCATGAATTTGTCTATTGTGTAGCAAAAGCACAATCATACTCTTATGCACCAATTGTTGACCAAATTTGCAACCCGAAAGATTTTCTAGACCAAACCGGGTATCGAACCCACCGCTCCCGGCTCGGTAATACCGTGCCTAACTGACTTGGCTATCTGAAGCCCTTGGCGTCCATTGCGTCATGTTCGGGAAATCATCAAGAATGAATAATATCAAAGGATTTATCGATCTATTACTACTGAACATTACTGATAGCCACGTGCGGTTTTGCCTAAAAAAATAATTATTGCTTAAATACATTTCCCTGTTGTTGTTTTGAATCTTACCCGTTTTTCAAGGATGCTGCTAGTATGAGTCTGTTATTGTTTCACAATCGTTTCCAATGATTATTTCCCAGTAATCCGAGCTGAAGTGTGCCCACTTGAGCAGTTTTCATTCTTCGCTTGGAGCTCTTTCCATCCTTTGGCCATTAGTCGGCGGCTGATTCACTGCAATCCATCGTATGCTCCATGTTTGAGAAAACCATAATAAACTAAGATGCCAGGAAACGGAATAAATATAGTAAACAGGTCCGCCATCCACTCCCACTTTGGTTCTATGCCAATAACTAACTAGGAGCCAGTGACGGGAAATTGCAGTTTGCTTAATCGGATATAAATTCATAGCAATTATCGTTCAAGATGTGCCGGCGTAATTAGCTCCAATTCCAATAATATTGTGTTTTTGAATAGAGCATTATACCAAGCCTCGAAGGTTTAAGTACTGCCACGTGGTGTGGTGTGGTGTGAGGGAGCATCTGGACTTGCAAGAGTTTTCGAGAGCTTCGCATCCGAAGTAGGATGAAACTTTTACAAGAATTACTTACTTTGTTGGAGATAAATTCAAATGCGCTCTTGAACACACTAGTGTGCAAACTGTATCGCCTTATGTATGCTTTCTGGAATGATCGGTATTAAAGTTTTAATTCGGATTAATTAAATTGAAGCGATACGAGTGTTCTACTAAACAATTTAAAGCGTAACTGAACGATTATCCAAGAAAGCGCCATTATTTCTGGTAGCGTAGAACGTCGACCGCTGGCAACCATTCTGGAACACGATTCCCGATTCCAATTCAATGACACCGGCACAGTACGACAGAGAAATAAAGCTTTTAAAAACGTTCGCCTTGCGCAAATTGATCACTTGCATTCAACGCCCCCACACTGTAAATCGCTGAAGCATGCTTTTAATTTCCCGCAAATATTTGCAGTACGTGACAATCCATACATTTTCACCCGGTGGGAAACACCACTCTCAAGTGCAGTCGCAAAAAATCAACTGCGGCATGGTGCCGGCACTGGAAAATAGCAAAAAAAAAATGTACCCTAGCTGGTGAAAATTCAATGATCGGGCTTTCAGAAACAATGTCGTTTATTGGTAGACGTAAAAAGAAGAGTGTCATGAATATTTGACGGATTTCATGTAGTTGTAATGGCTATGACATCCAATATTACGCTATTCTAACGATAAATTGTGGAATATTCACAACAGCTTTTGTAAACAATAACTAAAATATCAATTTGTAGAAAATGCTAGCTGGCCCAGGCCAACTAACACCACCACCAGGTAGGGTAAAGTTTCTCTAACCTGATAGTGGTGTTAGTTTGCGTGGTAGAGCAAGCAGTTTGGACAAAAGGACGTTTGCATCATGGATTAAAAAAGCAGTTACGGCTATTCGATAATTTATACCTGAGTTGATATATTGTTTCGTAAGTGGTTCTCTATGGAGCATCCCAAGCAACACCATTTGTTTCTCAGCGAGCAATAACAACTTGTAACGCGATTGACAACAAGTGTGACTAAATCAAGGTCTAAATGATGGACAACGCACCGCATATAAAACTTCAAGCGCAGAAAATGGAGTCTCCTTGAAACTTATGTTTGTTGCAAACCGGTTGCATGCAACATGATATTTTGATGACTCAAGTTGCAACATGGATTAATTGAAAAATAAGTGCATTGTATAACGGCGCCGGTGGTGTAGTGGTAAGCGTGATTACCTCTCACCCCAGGAGGCCTGGGTTCAATCCCAGTCAGCGCCGCCGGGATGTTCTGAGGCATAACATCTCTGATCACGTCTTCCTTCGGATGGGAAGTAAAGCCGTTGGTCCCCGGTTCATGAGTTGATGGGTCGATAGGTAGGGTCCAGGTGTGGGAGCTGCCTTCCTGGCACGTGGGTAGCATTGGTGCTCAGCACGGAAAACAAGATCGACGGAAAAAAACAAACCAAAGGAAAAAAAAAAAAAGTGCATTGTATTTATTTCTGGTGGATAACATATGGCTGCCAGTCTTATAATTGTGTACATTGCGGGTCAGAATGTATAACAGTTAGCTTAACTTTTTTAGAGCTGTCCATATACCACGTGCACACTTAATTTTTTTCGCCGAGATTCCAACAGCCGAGTAGTTCTGCAATTTATTTTGCTGAGATTCAGTAAAACAATTGCCGAGACTCAGCTAACAAATAACATTTTGCTGAGATATCAGCTAACAAACAGTTATTTTGCAGTGATATCAGCAAACGTAAATGCCGAGGTAATCGGCTGTTGGAGATTCTACCGAGCTAGATTAAGTGTGTGGGCAGTTTTTAAGAGGTTTTAGACCCCCGTCCCTTCTTTTGGATCCTCCATACAGCCATATCAGTAAAGACACCGCATAGCTTCGTTAAAAATAATAATATATACCTAGTGTTTAGACTCATAAGGACCTAACTGCGATGATCGATTTTCTCTTTGAGCTATTACCGTTAAGTAAACCAATTTTCGGAAGCTTGCTATAATTGGTTGAATTGGCTAGCAAAAGCAATATCAACCCCCCCAATAAATGTTAATCCAGCCGAGCTATTAAACAAAGAGAAAATCGATGATGAAGGGTATCGTTCATTGCAGTTAGGCCCTTATGATTCTGAATGCTAGAATTAATCTAGCTGAAGACAACATTTTGAACAAGATGCAATGTTTTTTTTTTTTGAGCTTGCATGATGGAGAAGAAATTGGTTCGCGGAGATTGCACTGTTGATGTTGGATTTCACTTCAACCAACAGATGATCAACTTATCAATGCAATGGAAATGCAACAGACGAGTACGAACAACACAGAAGTATTGCAGGCAGCAGTGAGATTGCAAGTGGTAAATTAAACGGAGCTTCTGTCAGTCAATGCAGCAGGAATGCAGTTCAATGAAGCAGAAACTATGAATAATACGGATATGCGAATGAAATCATTGCGAGCACCAAAAAATTGAAACTCCAGGACTTTTCTGAATTCGAAGGATTTTTCGCAATTTACACAGAGGATCAATTATTGACACTGGAAACTAGTTTGAAGATTATGGTGGCTAACGACATGTTGTTTGATTATTTTGAATCCGTTTATAATTCAATTGGAAAACAGGACAGTGATCCCTTCTTCAAGGCGATTATGAGGAAAATACTCGTGTCAACGACCATCCATGTTTTCCATGGAAAGGACAATCTCATGTATTCATTCCCATCATTTGTCTAATATGTGTATTGCGTACTTCGGGCAGCAGATTTATGAATTTACTGAGAAGGCAAATGATTATGCTTTTAGCGTTTATCTTAGAAATAAAACTACAAGGGACAGCCCTATGTGGTTGTACGCAATGGTGACGTAGAAATACGTGATCTTATATTAAAAATGTTATTTGTTAACTGCAGCAGGAGCTTGTGTTTTGTGTAGGAATAGGAATTTGAGCGGGGATCTCTCTGTTTATACTCTTTAGAATGACGCGCTTGGCATAGATGACCTACAGCGACAAACAAAGAGCCACTGATTTCGATCAATAGCGGTGCAGCTTCTTCCTCCTGCTGCTGCTGATGCCGACGACCGGACACAACCACACACGGTGATTGGAACTGAATCCGATCAGCGGTTGTGAGCACCCATGATAGCTAGCTGCTTGCGGGAAGCCTTTCGTTGTAAAAAGGAGAACACGACCACTCACCACGCGGTGATTTCTGATCGATTTCTGATAAAATTATTGAAATTGGTCCAGGGGCAGCTGAGTTATTAACGTTCAAAATCTTTCATAATTTTGTTTCATATTCCATTTTCACCCCATATAGAAATCACAGACGTAGTCCTACGTCAAAAAATACCGAGATATAACGCCATGAAAAAGGACCGGTTGAGCAAATGGTGGAGTGTGTGCGTCGAAAGAGAACGCCGAAGCCGGTTATTACTGAATCTGAAGATTTAGCCAGGACGGATACAGATGCGTTGCAGTTATAATAGCATCGATAGCAGCAGCTCATCTATTCACCCTCTTTGAGCATGAGGATGCAATGTTCGGCTTTATTATAAAGTAAATAATAAAAAATAATTGGGACAATGTTTTAACAAGTAACCTGAATTACTTTTTTGAGATTTATTTATTTATTTATTTATTTTTATTCAATACATCCATCTGACAATAAGTCTTAATGAACCAGAAGCCATAACAAATACTAAATGTATCTGGAGTTAATAATACGTCTCTGGAATTGAGCAGCAGGTTCCCCAAACTCGAACAACTCTTCAACTGTAGAAAACGTGCGAATCATACTCGTAACAGGTTCATGTTGTCCAAAAGAAGAGCGGTGTGAGTCTTGACGCAATAGGAACGATGAGCGTAGAAATCTGCTTGGCGCACGAAAGTTCAAGCAAGAGAGTAAGTGGGTAGAGTCAATTTCACCACTTAATAACTTCGCGACGAATGTTGCCTGTTGAATTTGTCGCCGTCGTTGTAACGTGTCCATGCTTAGCAAGCGACATCTCTCAGCATACGGAGGTAAGTTTAGTGGATCTCTCCAAGGAAGTTGTCTTAATGCTCGACGAATGAATGTTTTTTGGATACGTTCTATTCTGATGTTCCAGGAAAGTTGGTAGGGAGTCCAAACAACAGATGCAGTCTCGATAATCGGACGAACGAGTGAACAGTACAGTGCTTTTAAACAGTACGGATCCGAAAAATCTCTTGAGATTATTGATATAAAACCAAGCTGACGATTAGCCTTAGTGATTACCATTGAACGGTGTAAGTCAAACGTAAGTTTAGGGTCCAGCATTACACCTAGGTCGCTTACTTGTTCTACTCTTTCTAGTACAAATCCATCAATTGAGTAATCGAATACGATTGGCGTTCTTGTGCGATTAAATGTCATGACCACACATTTTGATATACTAACGGAAAGCTTGTTTAAGCGGCACCAATCAACAAATTGGTCTAACATTGCTTGGAGCTGACGGCAATCCTCGACGTTCTTGACAACAATGTATAGTTTGAGATCATCGGCGTATATGAGCACACAACCACTCGGCAAGAGGAGCGTCACATCGTTGAAGAAGATTGTGAACAGCAATGTTCCTAAATTGCTACCCTGGGGAACACCGGAGGTTGCAGCAAATGGTGATGAAGTGCACGAACCCAGCTTGACACGAAGTGTTCTGTTGGAAAGATATGATTTCAGCCAATCAACCAAACCATCCGAAATTCCCAGGCGAGACATTTTCCGAAGAAGAATACCATGATCGATGCAATCGAATGCCGCTTTCAGATCGGTATAAACGGTATCTACTTGAGCCCTATTTTCCAAGTGATTTATACATGTTGAGGTGAACTCCAGCAAATTTGATGTAACTGAGCGTCCTGGCATAAATCCGTGTTGCGTTGCTGAAATGTAGCTCTTGACATGAAAGAAGATAGCATCGTTCACAATGATCTCGAATAATTTTGAAGCTGCAGATAGACTTGTTATGCCACGATAATTTGTCACATCACGTTTGTCGCCCTTCTTATGGACAGGGAACATAAAGGAATGTCTCCATATTTCGGGGAAAACTCCTTGGTGCAACGAAGCGGTAAAGATGCGAGCTAGGGGATCAGCTAAAACAGCAACACAGCTGCAAAAAATGATTGCAGGTACACCATCAGGACCCGGTGAAACAGATTTCTTCAACTTCCTAACAGCTTTAACGACATACATATTGCTAACCACAAATGTACGCAAATCGATGAGACCCTCAGGAACATTGCAAGCCGCTCTTTATACTTCAACTGCGTTGGCGGCTGAATCCGAAAAAACAGAACTGAAGTGGCGGGAAAATAGATCACACGATTCGAGCATAGAAGTAGACTCCAAATCGCCAAAAAATACGGATGAAGGAATATTCGACGATTTTCGCTTGGAGTTCACAAACTTCCAGAAGCTCTTGGGATTTCTACGTTAATTGGTCTGGACACGCAAGACATATGACTTGTATAGGGTTGAATTAAGCTTACGATAGGCGTTGCAAGCGCGATGAAAGTTGCGTTTCGTTTCAGAAGTTCGATGCCGGCGAAGTTTACGCTGCCAGGAATTTTTATCGCGTTTCAAAAGCCGCAGGAGAGGAGAACTCCAAGCAGAAGATATAGGAGGTTTTCGTCTTGGAGTGTTATCGGTGAGCCAATTGCAAATTATGTTGCAAAATTGTGCTGCCATATCGTTGACGTCATTTGTTGCCAGAATACTGCTCCAATCACAGCTCATCAGGAACTCGTTGAGCATGACGAAGTCGATTTTTGAGTAGTCGAGCGTATGTTCACCAGCATCAAGGGATTCCACACGGTCAACACAATCGGATTGAGTTGGTAAGGAGAATAAAATCGATGGATGATGCAAATCAATAGCCAGCAATGGGGACACCGCTTCGTTAACTACAATGTTGCAATCGGAATCACAGAAAACCAAATCTAGGATGCGCCCCAGGTGATTGCGAATAGAGTTGTATTGCCGGATATTCAGGAAGCTCGTTCCATCCATCAGAGCAGCACTGGCAGCAGACGTCGTGGAAGGATCAAGGTTTAAGATTCCATCATCAAGACAATCCCATGCTATGTGTGGTTGATTGTAGTCACCACAAGCAAGCAAAAGGTCACCATCTGGAGTTGCATCACGTAATTCACGAAGAGTAGCTAAATGGGCATCGATAATACCTACGTCCCGACTACGATCTGGAGGAATATATACAGCGCAAAGCACGAACCGCTTTCCGCGAATACAGGCAGACACACTTACTTGTTCCAGGTTACTACTATTAATAGTCTTTATCTCAACAGACTTGTAAACGCTGGCCACGGCAATAAGCACTCCTCCAAACTTCGCTTTCTGGCTATTACGAGCACTGCGATCGCAGCGAAATACATTAAAGTCAGTACCAAAAAGTTGCAGTGAGTTGATGCTGTCGTCAAGGCCCGTTTCTATCAATATGATGACATCGTAATTGCAATCACATACCGCTACAACCAGGTCATCAATTTTGGTTCTTAGACCACGTACGTTTTGGAAGTAAAGCCAAACATCGTTGTCACCAGCAATTCCACAACTGTTGTCACGAGATGCCGGCGTGTAGGAATTTTCGGTGCGTCCCGACATAGGTAGGGGACGTTCAAGGCGTTGTCCATGTTGGCTGGAGGTACTCCCGGCAGAACAAGTTGGTGATCTGAGGAGGGAATCATCATCAGGCAGGAAATTATGAAAATTATGTTGATACTTGCCTAGACAAGCAAGCTGGAGGGCCTCTTCTCGCACATCAGACACAGGGCCGGGACGACTTCGACTGCATTCACCATTTATCGGCGCGACTGTGCTGAGTGGATAAGAGGCTTCCAAAATGCTTATTTTTGCGCGTCCCGGGGTCCATCCATCGGTTGATTTGCTGCAAACGTCGTCTGCGGTGTCACTGGCGTGGGTGTTAGATTCACACCAGATGGTCTCCGAAATTTTTGAGCCGAGTGATCTTCGAATTCACGGAATAGAACTCCTTCGGGCCAAGATGACGGATCCAAAGCTCTCTTCTTCAAAGCTGGGTCTAGACCGACTTTGAATGAAATAAAGGTCATGTTACTGGTGTCGGTTCCTTTGGCGACCAATTTCACAACATCAGGTTCATTTTCGAATTCCAGGTTGGCTTTCACCATTTCAGAGATTGCTTCGTTGCTCACATCACGTTAGATACGGGACAAGTAGAGCCAGAATTTTGCCGCCGGTTTTTCACATGTACGTACAGAGATGACGTTCTGACCCAACAGTTTTGAACCAGACTGACACTCAGATGTTTTAGGCACCACAGAGTCGGATCCACGAGATCGTTTTGATGGTCGAGTTGCTTCAAGTGTTGGCCATCGGTTGACAGCAGGTGGCAGAGTTGACGGGACAGGCTTTGATGACAACTGTTTAATTTCCGTCTGCAAATTCGTGATAGCTTCCGTGAGAAAAAGCAGCGGCGATTTTCCAACTGCCAAATTGGTGATGGATCGGAGGTGCGAATTCTCAAAAAGTTCCGCACATTTATCGCACATCCAAAAGAGGTTTTTCCGATGGGATGTGAAGTAACCAGACAGGGCACGAGACACTCCAGAACACGTCATGTGAAACACACTGCCACAGTATCCTCGGCAGGTCACATACTCAATGCCAGTAATTTCCAACGAGCACTTGGCACAATTTGTCTCCATGCTGGCAGTTGAACGGTCAAACGCCTTTAATTAGACTTCTTGCAGGAACAAAAGTTGGCGGTAGGACGGTGATGACAAACAAGCTCAGGATGATTGAGTGCTGTTTCAACAATAGCACGTAGGTGAAGAATGAACAAAAACAACTCTATAGCACAGCACAGCGCGGACAAAAACAGTTAAATTGTACTTCGAATAACTACTTTACGAGCACAATTTTTTAAAAATAATGTCCGGATGATTAAAACGAAAAACTTGGTCAAGAAATAAATATTTTTGACTAGATAAGCCACGA